TCCATGTAACATTACTGGCGGTCCACACAAATATAGCAAATTTGGTGTCCACCGTAAAATTTTAGTGGCCAATAGAACAATTTCACGTCTGTTTTACAACTGAGAAAAAGATATAAAAGCATTATATATATATATATATATATATATATATATATAAAGGAAAATTATATAAAAGTTATAACTTATAAATTAATTTAATATATTAATAATAAATAATGATATTGATTTTAAATATTAATATAAAATAAAATACTAATTTTAATTAATTAATATAAAATATTAAAACAATAAAATATTCAAAAAAATAAAATGTTAATAAAATGTATTTACTATATAAAGAAAGATTAACAGTATTAACCTGTTCAGTAGCAGGGGTAATTTCTATCAAATCCATCCACTATGAGTGCCTATATATGTATTAATGTATGTAAATGTTCCATAGAATTTAGTTGTTAAATACTAGTTCCAAAATAAGTCATATAAATTTGCTATTTCTATAATACAAATCCTATACTTATGTATTAGTAAAAAAACAAAAAGGTTTTTTTTTTTTCATTGAATAGTTAATGAGTACATAAAAAAAAATTTAGACTAAATTGTCCATTGGTGAAAAATGTTGAGTGCCACTGACCTACAACATTCTCCCGTGGAAAAAAAAAACTGGTCTTTGGAGATTTTTGTTTTTTACAATCTCGCATAATTTATAACTGAACGAATTTTTACAAGTGTTAGCATCATTTGCCTCTTAAAACATCGTTAATATCTAAACTTTTGAGGCAAGAAATGTAACTTATTGAATCTGCATATTTTTATCATGGCTAGGATTTGAAGATGATTGTTTGTTTTTAAAATGATATTTCATTTTTTTTATTTTATGTTTTTTGTTGTTTTTAATTTTTCTTCTGAAGATAATTTTTTATTAATGTTCTATTATATTTTTCCTGAGTCTACAGCTGTTTAATCTTATAATTCAATGATTGATTTTCTGCTTTTCTATTTGTTTTGGCAGATGTTGCTAAAGAAGCAATCATACATTTTCCCTATAAAGTTACAAGCATTGTTTTCGCATCCAAAATGATTTTTCAAAGCGTATCATCAGAGACTTAAATCGTCACAAAAACTCAGACATAACCCAAACAACAATTTATTTTCTTGCCATTAGACTATAACCTAGAGATTAATGCTGCATATTACTTTAAATTACATATCTCTTCAGGACGTAGATGATCATGACTCTCCACAGATTCCTTTTGTTTATTATCTATGAATTGTCATGTCTCTTCAGGACGTAGATGATCATGGCTCCCCACGGACTCCTTTTATTTATTATCTGTAAATTGCCATATCCCAAGAGAATGTAGATAACCATGGCTCTCTACAGATTCCTTTTCTTCATTATCTCTGAACTGACATGTCCCATCTGGACATAGACGGCCATGGCTCGCCACAGATTCCTTTTATTTATCATTTGTGAATTATCATGGCACATCAGAATATAGACGATCAGAGCTCTCCACAGATTTCTTTTCTTTATTATCAGTGAATTGCTATGTCCCATTACAATGTAGATGATCATGGCTCTCCACACGCTTCTTTTCTTTATTATCTGTGAATTGCTATGTTCCATTAGAATATAGGCGTTCATGGCTCTCCATAGTTTTATTCCCTTTATCATATGTGAATTGCTAGGTCCTATCAGGGTCTAGATGATTATGACTCCCCCAGAGTCTTTTACTTGATTATCTGTGAATTGCCATGTTCCATCGTGACAAAGACGATCATGGCTTGCCACAGAATCATTTTCCTTATCATCTGTGTATTGCCATATCCCATTAGAATGTAGATGATCATGGCTCTCCACACGCTCCTTTTCCTTATCATCTGTGAATTGCCATGTCCCATTAAAATGGAGACAATCATGGTTTTCCACAGTTCCGTTTACTTTTCCCTTGTCACGAATTCTTTGGAAAGAAACGGGTTGTGTTTCTCGTTGCCTTATGCATGTTTCTGAATTCAGAGAAGTTTTTTGCTATCTTCTTTTCTATTTAACTCGTAAGTCGTGGAAGGAAATATCATTCCTTTCAATGGTGTATTAGTGTGAAAATGAACGCAGTAGACTAACCGGGGATTTGAACTCAGATCACTGATTCTATTTTCCTCGCCGATCCCTTTTACGCTACCATCACATACTGAATGTTTTATATTTTATGCTAATTATTCTGAAAAGAACTGTGTTGAATTACATCTCAAATTCCGGTTACTAATAATCACGCATTGAGAATGAATTAACCAGAATATTTTACAAACTTTTACAAATCGCTATGTTAACGGGTAGGGAAGGATTAAAAATCCATTTATTCCCCTAAAAATGTCATTGACGAGCCACCATTACGTTACACAGCATGGGGATAATGTACATCCAATTTGCCGACTCCATCTACCTCAAAAACGATGATTTATTCTACCAGGATAATTCACCTTTTCATCGGCCTGAAGTTGCCTAGGATTAAGAAGAATTCTGGCGACGTTCAACTTTCGGTCGACATGAGGCCAATTGACGTGACGGAGAGATATTTGCATGCAAATTTTCTATACCTACAAATATCAGTGAACTGTCGACAGCTATCTAGACGGCATGATTTAAAATGTCCAGATGTCTTCCAAATAATTTGTTAGATCCATAGCACGTTATTTATATATCTGCAAGCTTTGAAGAAACCCTTCACCAAAAATACACTACTAAAAGAATACAGAACGACCGTGCAACTTTGGTAATAATCACAACTTCCATCCATTATCTTTGCATACTACCATTTCATAATTTTTGGCGGGTCATTTCCTCTGAAGATGGACTGGGAATATATATCATATAATGACCAGCTGCTCGTCTCGAGCGGCAAGACAATTCCTGTTGCAGACACCTGTTCAGACTCATTTGTGTTTTGAACAAACACGCATAAAGCCTACTTGTGATTTATACTTCAACTATGCTGGGCGGACATTTGTTACAGTTTCTGAGGGAGAGAGAGAGAGTATCATCGGGAGTGATGATAAATTGGAACAATGTCAGTGCACTAAAACGCTCGGTCCCGATGGCTTCACACATCGTGCTAACACAAGCTATCGAACAGAACTTGGATCAACTCGTGCTATGATTTTCAAAGAAGACCCGTTCCAACAGTGCAACAAGCTGGGATCGCTTCTACAGATGTTATCAAAAGTTACTATGGTCGAAAAAATAAGCATTTTTAACCATATATATATATATATATATATATATATATATATATATATATATATATTATATATAATGTTATATATTAACAAACAGTATTTAGAAAAATAGTATGACAAATTGGAAAAAAAAACTTTTCGTGATGCGTTACAAAAACGTTTTTCCTATTTGTCATGCTATATCTATCTATCTGTATCTATATATATATATGTGTGTGTGTGTGTGTGTGTGTGTGTGTGTGTGATGCGATTGTCGTCTAAATTACGCAAAAATTAAAATAAATAACACTGATATCTCATTTTAACAGATATATTTACCAAAATTACACAAAAATATCTTGAAATACTAAAGTGTAAATTCATTCAATAAAATCGCCACTGGCTTCAACCACGGCCTTCAGACGACTTCAGAATCTCCTGCAACTCTTCTGGATGGTCTCCTTATTTAAGTTGGAGAATGCTACAACGTTACAAGAAGTTTTGTTGGTCTCTCGCTGAACTGCACCCCACACATGATAATCAAGAGGTAATCAGTTGTAAGGCGTGATATGGTCTCAGAAATTGTCTGACAACCATGACTGGATTCTTCTGCTTGTCTTGCATAGTACAGATTCCTGTTGTCAGACAGGGTTTTCCAGCACCTACCCTCTTGGCTCAGGGCGGCACTACCTCCTGTAGGCACTTGATGTAGGCATCCGTGTTGCATTTGAAGCCCTGTGGGAAGATGAATGGAGGCATAATATCACCTTCACTAGTGATCACTCCAAACACCATGATGTTGACTAGATATATTATCCATCTCTTTCCGAATCCTCTGCATTGTCTTCGGATTGACAGCCAAACACTCTGAAATGTTCGTATTTAATCTTCCGGTGCAAATGCCAAGCAGTACAGCATGCCGTTTCCAAATTTCTGGCGGAGTGAATTGCGTCATGCTGCTCTAACTGAACTTACTATACGGTGCAGTCGAAAATCAAAAACAAACAATGCGCATCCTGTGTATATATATATATATATATATATATATATATATATATATATATATATATATATATATATATATATATGTACTTTATATACATTCGTAAGAGCGGAAATCAATATGTTCATACCTTGATATATTTGTTAGATCAATTTTGATCTGAAATAATGCTAGATCTATGTGACTAATATAGATACGTTGGATTTCTCTTAAGCAAAGGCATGAAACCACTAAAATGCAAATAATTACTGAGTGTGAAAGAATATGAAAAAAATCAAAACATTATTAGACAGGTAGAACAATAAAAACAGGAATTAAGAAGATAGAAGATAATGATTAACATTGTATTTAAATTTTTGAAGATCAAAGTTGACTGGAAAGCAAGAAGACGGAAGAATTTCCAAATCGAAAAGTGATGGAGAAGACACCGCTAGCATAAAACTGGCGGTTATATCTAGCTATTTCAATTTTAAAATGATTAATCCTAGCTGTCAATCAAATACTATTCTTAAGCTCGTGAAATCAAGGTACCAAAGAGGAAACCTCATCAGAACTATTATCATGAAAATATTTATAGAAAATGAACAGAGGTGAGAAAGTGACTGAAGTTGAGATGTCAGGTCAGGACCAATAACATTGCAAATTCCTCTTTGGATCTTATCAAGAATTTGTAAATACATAGCATAGCAGATGTGACAGCAATATTTAATGCGTGAGCGAATGGCAAACTAATAAATTTCTAAAATAGATTCTGGCAAAAAAAGTGTCTAACATGATATTTCTGATGAAACAGACCGAAAGGATATCTATCTATCTATCTATCTATCTATCTATCTATCTATCTATCTATCTCAGTCGGTCCCTATCTATCTATCTATCTATCTATCTATCTATCTATCTATCTATCTACTTAAGTCTCTTCCTATCTATCTATGTATCTATCTATCTCAGCCTGTTCATTTCTATCTATCTATCTATCTATCTATCTATCTATCTATCTATCTATCTCAATCTGTTTCTATCTATCTACTTATGTCTCTTCATGTCTATCTATCTATCTACATAAGTCTCTTCATATCTATCTATCTATCTATCTCAATCGGTCCCTATCTATCTATCTATCTATCTATCTATCTATCTATCTATCTATCTATCTATCTATCTATCTCAATCGGTCCCTATCTATCTATCTATCTATCTATCTAACTATCTATCTATCTATCTATTTCAATCGGTCCCTGTCTATCTATATCATTCTATTCATTATCTATCTATCTATCTATCTAAGTCTATTCATATATATCTATTTATCTATCTCAATCGTTCCCTATCTATCTATCTATCTATCCACGTAGAAATCTGAAATTTGAACGTATTTCGTTTAACGTGATTAATATTAGGTCATCAAAGTGAATTTAAAAATATTATTAAAGAAATTCTATTCGTAGTGTTAATTTTTCAGTGGACTGTTACGCAAATAAAGAAAGAATTTTCTGAAGATAAAAACCTTATTTTCTAAAATGGATATAAAACCTGTTACTTTAGGACTCATCGAGTTTATGTGTTATTTTCAACCAAAGTAGAAAATTATAATCATTTACTCGAGCAATTACCATCAACTGTCTTTCTGTTTACAACCATCACTTTCGACCGTCTTTGTCTCGTCGTTCTAATGGCGTCCTCGCGTTTGATATGATACAATTGATATTTACGTTCTTTCAGTAATGTTATATGGAAGCGAGGTTTTGTGTTTAGATTCTCCAGCCAAAAATCATCGCTTTTATTTCTCTATTATCGTTATGTCCTGGAAGTATCCGCCATTATCATCAACGACGTTATTTCCTTTAGTTTCAGGTGGAAAAAGCAATACACGAATCTTATGCCAATTTTGCAAGGCGCAAATCAGCATTTTCAATTATTTTTTGCTGACGTTCACCGAACAAAGAAAGCAAAAACGGATATTTATTTATTTTTTTTGTTCTTAAAAATATAATCATCTAACGTTGGAAACAGTTTTGGAAAAATATTCAAACGTCAAGAATTCATCGAGAAATGAGAAAAAATAATTCTTTAATGTTAAAAAAAACTCTCTTTCAGCACAAAAACGAACCATGTTTAAGTTATTCTTGAAGCGGAAATCAAAGAAATAAAATAAAAAATAATAATGCAAATTGACAGAAGAAAAATGAATTAGCAAAATAAAACAGTAAATCCTCGATTTAAAAGATTTAGGGTTTAACTGTCCTTATCAAAGGGATGAAACTGGGACTAAATGGGGACGAAATTTGAAGACAAATATCCGTAATTTTAATAATTAAATGCGTATAAAACACTTACAAAGATTATCAGTGATTCTGATTAATGTCATATCGCTAAAGGAACACCTAGTCTATTCGTCAATTATAGTTTCCGTTTTTGTTTTTTTTTAATAATTATTTGTTTATTTCTCATTATGAGTAGTTAGGTTCTCCTATCGTCCGCTTCATACTTCTTCCTGGTCTTATGAACAGGAGTAATGATTTATCCATTCTTTCCTGTTTAGGATTGTGTTTCAGCTTCCTTCTATCTATCTATCTATCTATCTATCTATCTATCTATCTATCTATCTATCTATCTACTTAAGTCTCTTCCTATCTATCTATCTATGTATCTATCTATCTCAGTCTGTTCATTTGTATCTATCTCAGTCTATCTATCTATCTATCTCAATCTGTTTCTATCTATCTATCATCAGCTTGATACTTCTAACGTCACCGTTTTTTATTTTATTCACTAATTATTATTTTTTTTCTCTTCAATAGGAGTAGATAAGATCACCTATCGTCCGGTTCACATTTCTCTCCGGTCTTTTGAACAGAAGTGAAGGATTATCTCTTGTTCCCTGTTTAGGATTGGGGTTTCCGATTCCTTTTAATGTTTTTCTTAATGTCTCTTTCACTCACAATAACTCCTTGTGTTATAATGGTCTTATCCCATTACGTGGGGTGAATTGATTAAAAACATATATCGATTCTTTTCTAAATGTCTATATTTCTAAGTTGCGTTATTGTAATTATTTACATTATTTAAATTTTTCAGACTGTTGACTTCATCTTTATTGCCATATTCATGGCGTTTCGGCCGTTGTACGCTCCGGCCTTCTTCAGGTGATTCACATTTCGAATTGAAACCTTTATTTCGTCCGCTGGAATAGACTGATCTCGTCCCACGTGCCATGCCTCTTCCGGGTGTCTCAGTTATCTCCCCTTAACTCAATTGTCCAAGATTTGTTCACCACTGCAGTAGCTAGATCTTGAACTCACAACTCTTTGGGTCAAGTCACTGGATCCAACCACCGCTTTTATCCACTGTGATATGTGTCATTGAGAACTAATAAAGGGTTCAGTTCGAAATTCCAATCACCTGAAGAAGGCCAGGACGTGAACGACCGAAACATCGTGAATATGGCAATGAAGATGACGTCAACAGTCCGAACAATGTAAATAATATAAACGATTCTTTTCTGTTTGTATGTTCTGGGATTAGGAGCTATCATTATTTGAGTTCAAATTAATGTACTCATCTTTGCTGTTACTATCAAGACGTTTTGACCTTCGGCCTTCTCCAGGTATCTCTCAGGTAACCTTCAAAATTTCACCTAAAACCTTTATTTAATTTACGGGTGTAGAATTTCCTCGTTCAGCTGACCATATATTGCCTTGTTACTATTTAGTAATGCTCAAGTATTGCTCGCACTGATTATGTTTTTATTGCCTGGCCTAGATTGAATTTACCAAGTTCATGAACCAATCCAACTAGGGGTCAATCCTTAACTTTGAACTTGAGACCTTAAACTTAATCATCTGACTTGTTGCCTGCTGCTGACACTGTTTTTGGCACGCGACTGCTGTCGTTCCCACGCTTGAATAATTTCATTGCTGTTGAGGCTTGACAGTCAAATTTCTTTCTTTATTAATGATTCCTTAAAAGACAGTCGCCAGTCCTTCTGTTTTGGTATTTTGATTTCGGGTAAAAATCATGTCTTCATTTTAGTATAAGCACAAGAAACATATTATGCAATAGAGTTAATATGAAAAAACATTAAAATTAAAATTAAACCCACGTGCAACTGCAGAATAAAGAACGAATGCCCCTTAAACGGTAATTGTTTACAAAACAGCGTAATATACCAAGCCACGATAAAATCACCAGATAATGAAGAAAAAGTATACATAGGAGTAACTGAAGGAGGCTAGAAGCAAAGAAATTATGCACACAAAACATCTTTCACAAATAGTAAATATGCGAACAACACAATGCTTTCTAAGTATATCTGGGAAATTAAAAACAAAACGCACTTCACACCAAAAATTGATTGAAAAATAAGGAAAAGATCATCAGCCTACACCAACCAATCAAAAACTTGCAAACTTTGCTTGGCGGAAAAAATAGCTATCATTACCTTTCCAGACCAAAATAAATTATTAAATAAAAGATCCGAGCTCATCTCAAATGCAGACCTGAAAACAAATTTTTACTACGTTACTTAAAAATCAAAAAATAAAATAAAAAATAAATAAACAAAATAAAATAAGCTAGATAAATTAACCCAAACAAATTATCAAATCACACCTGTTAAAATAGACGAAATAGAATTAAAAATAAAAAACAAAATCAATGAACCCAAATAAATAAAGTAAACAATAAACAAATTAGCAAACCATTATGACCAAAATATTAGTTAGACTATAAAAATCAAACCAAAAATAGGACGAAAAAAATAGCTATAACTGTTATATAACGATAAAAGAGAAAAAATATATACGTTACTTAAAAATCGAAAACCGAAAATATACAGTATAAGAAATAAATAATAACAAGTAAAATAAATTGATCTAAATTCATCCAAATAAAAAAATAAACTAACAATCCGATCCCGATAAATTAACTGTGAGAAAAAACAAATAAAGATAATCAATCCAAATAAATACATGAAGTAATAAAGAAAATAAAAACTGTTCCCGCCAAAATAATAGTTAGAATAAACTACAACAATCAACCCCAAAATTGAATAAATAGCTTTTATTATCTTCCCAAACCAAAACAAAACTATTAAATAAGGGATATAAACAAATTTTTACTACGTTACTAAAAACACCGATTAAAATAAAATAAATAAATAAATAAATATAAGAAATAAAAATAAAAAATAAAAATAAATAAAGACAAGCAAAATAATTTAACCCAAATGAATAAACAAATAAACGATTTCCGGTAAAATAACCACCAAAATAGACTACCCACAATGCACCACTGACCCGTATATATAAATAGCCGAGAAAAATAACAGCACTCGTGGCCTGACGATTGCATCTAGCATGAAACAGACTAAGTGTTGTGGCTTCAAATTGTTGATCACGCTAGATAACACGCTCCATGCCTCGTACAGTCGAATGAAATATACTCATCCCATCCGTATTCCGTTTTTAAGAAAGTTATTCCATTCAGAGATCTTCTTACTAAGGTTAACCTCATCTACATCTCCTTATATATTACGCTTCATAACGCCTCGTCTTATATGCAAGCTTAAAGACACATCGTGAGGAAATACCTGTTCCCGGACGATCGCGTTAAGCAACGTCGAGCCTGGTAAGCACCTAGATGGGTAATCATTTGGGAATACCATGTACTGTAAGTTTAGATGCGAGGGCAGTGTAATGGATAACGGCTCGAAATTGTTAATCGGCGCACCGAGTTCTAATTCCAATTGGGTTCGTTAAATTCACTTACGCGAAAATACCTGTGGGAAAGGTATGAATCTAGCTCTTCTTCACCCAGCCTTCCCTCCAGATATGGGTTGATTAGTAAGATTTTTATCACTAACATAATCATTATCTTTAAAAATTGTGTGCATTAACCCATAGAACTAAACAAAAACAACCAATGAACAAATCTTATATGCATCAACCTCAATTACTAACCTTCGACATTGAGTGGCTCTTGGGCCTTGTATTGGCTGTTGATTTAGGAAAATAATTCTAACATATCAAATATGAAAGGGGAAAAAATCTCATTTATCAAGTGTTTCTTGCATTTTTTTTTGTATAGTTGCTGCAACGGGAAATGAACAAGATTCCTATAACAAAGGAAACATTTATCACAAGACTAAAGAGAGCAGAAGCAACTGTCCGACACTTTGAAAGGAGCAAAGGTGTCAGGAAGGGATTCAGGTTTGGTTTCTAACAGATCAACTCCTAAGAATCTCGACACAAAACCGCGATCAAATATCTGACAAAGGCTTAAGCGCCTGCCAAACGAAATCAGTCATGATCGTAACTAAATTTTCATTTGATTTTACCTATCGTTCACTGTCCCCTACACACCACAAGCTTGCTCCGGACTAAAGCCTTTGTGTCTTTCAAAACGCGCCAGATTAACTGCTAGTGTCAAACATGTCTTTAATATTCGTTGGAATTACGTTTTCAATATCTGCCAAAGACAGTTTGCGTCATCCGTCTTTTGGCTTAGTTTCTCTTGTCCACTTTGAGGATTTAGTCCAAGTAGTTTACCAAATAGGACCGACTCAGGTAATCTGGTTATCGAGAAAGGTCAGAAGATCACATTCACACTGAATAACAATAAGAAAAGCAACGACAATACTGACAAAGCGAGTAAATTTTAACATCCAATGCGAATTACGGATTTTAAATGGCTTGGTAGCCTGGGAAAACACTGTATTTCTTGCTATATAAAAAGAATCTAACAATATAACAATATTTAACTGATAATTCACCCTAATTTATATATTTTAACATTATCTATCTATCTCAGTCATTTCATATCTATCTATCTATCTATCTAAGTCTGTTAATATGTATCTATCTACATATCTATCTATTTATCTACAAACAGTGTAGACATAGAAATCAGCACTGCATGGTGATAGTAAGTTTATTGCTCATCAGAAATATGATCTGGTGAAGCCGACACTGAACGCTCTTCCGCATAAATATCGTAAGGTTTAAAATTTTATGGCACAGTGGTTAAAGGCGTTGGTTAGATTCAGTGACAGGACCCAAAGAGTGTGAGTCCAGTACCCGGTTAAGGCAGTGGAGAACATTCAGAGTGGAATTAAGAAGAGATAACTGACATCCATTAAACATGGCACGTGGAACTAGAAGTCTACCCCAGTGAGCGAAATTAAGGGTTCAGTTCGACATTCCAACCACCTGAAGAAGTCCGGAGCGTACAACGGCCGAAACGTTGTGACAAATATGTCGACAAAGATGAGGACAATAGTCCGAATAAGGTAAATAGTGTATATATATATATATATATATATATATATATATATATATATATATATATATATATATATATATATATATATATATATATATATATATGTATAGTTTTAAAGTATGAAAACGAAACGACAAACCCCTTTACCTACACATTTTCCAACGACCCGCCAAGAATTATCAATCACATCACACAATCAATTAACTGTAGGTTATCTACCAATTCTTTCAATGACATCATCTTCAACGAAACCAAAAAAATTATGAAACAGCCCTAAAAGTTATTAGATTTCCGGCAACACTCACATACGTACCACACAACAAAAACAGCAACAGAAAAAGAAATATCATATAGTTTAACCCACAGTACAACAAAAATGTCAAAACAAACATAGGAAAACTATTTATTAAACTCATACACAAACACATCCCTCATCATACAACGAACAAAAGATATTTAACAGCAAAACTATAAAATCAATTACAGTTGCACCAAGAACATAAGACAAATAATAGAAAAAGAACAACAGAAAAATACCCAACAATCCAAGCGTACCAATCAACCCCATGTGTAATTCAAAGAACGAATGTCACTTACATGGCAATTGCTTGCAACACAAGATAATATACCAAGCCACTGTAAAATCAGCAAAGAAGAAAACATATACATATGAAAAATAAGGATCTCGGAAACAGGGAATCTATGCAGACAAAACAGCTTTTACAGACAGTAAATACGCAAAAAGTACAACTCTTTTAAAACATATATGAAAAAATAAAAACCCAAACCAAATGACATCAAAATATCATGGAAAATAAGGAAAAGATGATCATCAGTTTATAACAATAAATAAAAAAACTGTAAACTTGCTCGAAGAGAAAATAGTTAGAATCACTTTCCCAGACCAACAGGCATTAAATTAACAAACAGAACTTATCTCGAAATGTAGATATATAAAAAAACATTTACTAAGTTACTTAAAAATCGAAAACTAAAAACGATTATCTTGTAAAATACCATCATGAAAAATGCAAATAAAGGGTCTTCCAATAACTTGAACCGATTTTAAATGTGAATTAAGTTTTAGCGTTTAATGATTTATTTTCTTTTTCTTTCAGATTTAACAACTTAAGTCTACCAATTTCAACTATGGAAAGATTAACAATCAAACAACGTGTTAAAGTTTTGGAAGCTTATTACGAAAATGGACGTACAAACAGAAATGCACTTTGTGATTTTTTGTTCAACATAATCAATGACAATGGAGGGAGCCCGCCATAATAGAATGCAGTAGAGGAAAAGTTACCGAAACTAGTTGTTATGGTTGCTCCTGTTGATTGATTTTGGATTGGATCCAGAAATGCAGCTGCTAACTGGTAAGCAAGACCTTGTTGATTTTTCCTTGGACAATATATGCAGGTGATCCCTGCCGACGGCTCAGAGTAGATGGCTGACAAAGCAGATAGACACTTGGCAATCCGGACAGACGATGAACAGTGGGAAAGACTACGACGTCAATAGACTCGCAACCCAGATACCGATCACAATCGCAGAAATATGAAAGATTTTATGCCATGGGAAATGTTCCTAAAAATGAAAACAAGAATATTTTTTCTGCTTTTGTGATATCATTAGACATTTCTCATGTAAACTGAATCATATTTTTATTTAAGAATGTCAAATTTATTTCCAAAAATAGTTGAAATACATTTTATTACAACTCAGACGCCGCTTACTTCGGATGACTGACTTTTAAAATACAGAGGGCTCAGAATATGAGGTAGGCTCAAAATTTTCAGGGAAATGTAAGGGAGCTAAATCAGTGTTCCGTGCGTGAAGGTCGTTTGAAGCGCTGAATTGGATAATTATAACGCCGAAATACGTGTTAGTTTATGTTTCCCGCATTGACCTGCTTTTGAGATGCGAAATGTTTTATATCAGTTTTTGTATATATATATATATATATATATATATATGGGGGTATATATATATATATAGGAGCTAAATGTTTTATATCAGTTTTTTATATATATATATATATATATATATATATATATGTGTGTAGTATATATATATATATATATATATATATATATATATATATATGGGGTATATTTATATGGGAGCTAAATGTTTTATACCAGTTGTAGTATATATATATATATATATATATATATATATATATATATATATATATATATATATATAAAACATTTCTTCGTCCGCTTTACTTAGAGCGAGTGAGCCATTTGACATACTGTTATAATAACGAGAAAAAGACAATATTATAAAATGTAGAGGAAGGATAGAATCCAAGTAGAAAAGTTCTTGTAATGTTCGTGTTTTGTGAGACGCCATAAAACGAGACGTTTCTCATAGATTTTTTCTTAACCTTTCTCCATTTATTGATCTTGAAAAATCAGGAAAACAATCAAATTTACCTTGGACATCTTTGTGTGACACTTTTCTTTTATATTCAGCCACAAGTGTCAAGAGGAAGTAATTGCTGTCGTTCATATTATCAATGAGAACATCCAAACACTGCCAGTTTTCCGATCGAGTTTCGAAAAAAATGTTTCCATTACCAAACGTCTTTGCTGTTTTCTTTGTTTTTCACTCATTCTTTCTAATGACTTTATCTATTGTTGCAACAGCTTGCGTAAAAATGTCATGGTAATCAAAGTTATCATTCACAGATTTTTCCTACTTTTTTTTTTCAGAATATAAGACATACACTAAATTTAGTGTAGAATACATTGTAAAAAAAAAATTATGTCGACGCTTCCATAGAGACAACATAGTGAATGACCCTTAGAGTTTAGGAAACATGATAGTTTCCTGATAATTTCCATAATATTTTGAAATAAAGCCTAGCATATGGCATATATATATATATATATATATATATATGTTTAAAATCTGCGCCATTTAAGCTAGCTCCTACGTTGGGCACGTAACTGGCTTTCGGCTTGTTCAGGTGTTTGAGAACCTCTAAATCTATGCATATTAGAATTGGAAGCTCTTCTGGCTGCCGTTTGTTCTGAGTTTTCATTTGACCAGGACTATCTTTTCCTCGCCGGGTGTAACAGCAAAATTCCCCATATCATGTAACACCACGGGATAATTGTCCGTGCCACAAAGTGTTTAATACCTAAAGAAACAATAAACTAATTTAGTTTTCTTTTTCCAGGTTTTCAGATAAGACGTTTAGCCATCATAATACCATTTCTCGTAAGAATCACTGAAAAATCCTTTGAGTTATTCAGCTCGAAAGATACCAAGTTGAAATCGTTTTGCGTCAGCCCCACTATGTCTTCCCAACTGAGCAATGGTGAGAGGAAAAAGATCATTCAGTCGTTAAGTAATGGTACCAACATGCATAATCTAGCTTCCATCTTCAGCTTTAATTATTACTAAGATACAATGCTTCAAAGCTTAATCTAACAAATGGACAATTTTGCTGTTATACGATTTCGACATGTTTGCTGTTACACTCGATATATATATATATATATATATATATATATATATATATATATATATATATATATATATACACACAAATGTTCTGATCGCTTTTTTAGAAAAGAGAAAACTGCTTTTCAACTGGAAACTTTTGTACACACCTAATTTTATATTAAATAGGTGTCTTGAACTGATAAAAAAAGTTTTCAGTTCTTTCGAAGAAATCTTTTATTCATTGGGATCCATTGCTTCATTATGCAATCAATTCCCGGCTATCAGTTTTCACCAAAACTACGTATTCCATCATGAAATTACAATTTCGATTTTCGTTCTGAGAATTCTTCGGGAAAATGATTTTGCGTCTTGAAATTATTGGAAGCTTCGATCAGATTAAGCTTATGGCGTAGAAGGAAAAAAATGATAGTTTGACGGTGACTTGTCTGAAGTTGATGTGGCATGGGAAACTCTACAAGCCTTGGGAGTAACTCAAGGTAGAGTGTTACTGAATGAAGTGTGTGATATGAATTTAAGAGAAGGAGGTAAGAATGTTAAATTTAACAGTGGGCCAAGCGATGAATATCTACAGAAAGATGCTGTGAATAACATGGACAGAGCATGTAAGCAAAGAGGAAGTTTTAAGGAAAAATGGAAAAAAATGACACTTACAGTTAAAATCAGAAATAGAAAGTTTAAATCTTTTGGACACATAATAGCGAACGTGGGCTCAGAAAATTCGACCATCCCAGATCATATTAAAGGCAAGAGGGACAGATGGGAAGAATCAGTAACCTACTTAATAAGATTTTGGGTAACTGGTCGGCATAACAGGGTGTGGGATAATAAAAGGACAAACTCTGATTAGCGCTAAAAGAACAGATTATGTTGTGCCGATGCATGATTTTGTTCGTCCGGAAAGGACAACTACATTTAAGATTTAAGACCATTTTGGTTGATTTTGTTTAGCGGCATATCAACCTCGATCGGTAATTTACTGCCGAAATCTAAATATTCAAAATAATTGAAATCCAAATGAGCAATGGTAAGAGGAAAAAGATTATTCAGGCCTTCATTAATGGTACCATCATTCATACTCTGGATTCCATCTTCAAGGCCCATTCAAGAACCATTAAGAGAGCGTTGAGTAAG